TGTGCACAGCAAGCTGTACCTCAAGCTGTCCGCCGGTGTAGCATACCATATATCAGTGGCCTAACCGAATTTTTATCCTAGAGTCTGCACATTCTGTTTCCAAAAAGTGTTAAAGTGTTGACTTACCGGGGGAAAAACGCACGTACTACATAAGTGCGGAGATCCTGTCGGGAAATCGTGCTTTTAACCAAGATGGGTTGTGCGTAAAAGCACGACACCTTGAGAAAACCCGAAGATTTGGAGAATTTTGATGAGGTTTTGAACCCAGTGAAGGGGCATCACGGAAGCTTCAAATAACCGTATTTCAGTGCTTCAGCTGAGGTCTAACTCACACTGGCACACTCTGAGACTTTTGTAGTCAACTCAAATCATTCAGCGCATCAGGTACAGTCACAAGGAGCACTTGTTGGTTATTTGGTTGGCATTGACAAACACATCAACCCACTCGGGTACTGATACGGGACGCGGCAGAGGTGACGTCATTTTGTTCTGTCTGGTCAGTCAGATGAGCAATTATGGTTATATCTTGACACCAAATCAACTGCGAGTGGAAGAAGCATTGACAATAATGGGTAATTCAGAGTCATCAACCCTCTTTGTCGTGGATAGTATACGCTTGGGTACTGCTCGTCAGCCTGTTCCCCAGTCGATTCCCAACGAAAAACCTGGTACAGAGTTAAACGCACTGAGTCCTCAGCTTAGACTGTTGAGGCTGCGTTTGCTTCGCCCGCTATTTGTGGAAATAGTGCCTAATCGGAGGGGTTTGGTTCACTTGTCCTACACATTTTGACCTGCGTGTCTTGTTCTTTGATGCAGTAATTTGTTGTTAGGTGGTCATTCATTTGGGGACAAAGGAAACTGACATCCTGGCACTGGCAGTCGTATGCAAATATTGTAGTCTTCCACCTGCACATGGGTCTGTAGGCTAACCACTTGAGCAAAGTAGTGTCAAAATATCCAATTGTACTGTTTTTCCTGGGTGTATGAAAGGTAGTAAAGAGTCATTGATACCGAACGAACTGAGACTCTTCTGTAGTGAGACAGTTTGTTAAAAACAATCAGTCACAAAGTAATTTTTCCCGGAGGCTAGCATTTGATGGAATGTAAAACATAGAAAGTTTGAAGCCGAACGAAAAAACAAACTGACGGCTCGATAACAGCAGTTCTGCACTGAAACGTCACTTTAAACTTACAAGATGACCAGCACGAAATTCGTCTCCTTGTTTTGTCCACCAATCAGAGCGATTCACGCCGTTATCCCATGATACAACCGCACTCGCACTTAAGATTATGTCTCGCCGCAATGTTACTCCCATTACGATTCGAAATAAACATTAAAGATAGCACAATATCAGTCAATTTGAGAGGCTTAATCCCACTCCAAAACAAGGAGCTTCCTAGCTTCAGTTAAAAACTGCCACATATTGCAACCGAGCTAGGTGTCCTACTTACGCGTAAGCTGCAGTCAGCAATAGCACCTCTTGACTGCCAAGTCAGGGCTTTATCCATTCGAAGCATTCCAGAAATAGTTGCACTCAACTCTATGTCACTATACCAAATCTGAAAAAGAAATCCTTCCTGAAACATTTGTCTCGTGTGTTGCTTTTAAAAAAAACAAGGTTTTCACCAGTACATCTAGATAAAAGCAAAATGAACTTCTGTCCAATGGTGGAAAATGCATCCACACCCGTGTACATATGAAAACAGCATTTCGTTGGTTGACGAAAGCCTGCACAACAACACGTGCCTTATTTATTTGAACGAAAAGCGAACGCTACTGAACGGCAACAGTGTGTAAATATCATTTGGAACCATAACAGTGTTGCAGTAATGCAAGAGATTCCCGAAAAGAAAATCCTGAATCTGCCAATGGTAACTCTGTTTGTGTGTGTGTAAATCTTGTTAAGCGATCCGAATAAATACTGGTTCATATGCATTTTTCATGGGATGGGACCTTTGAAGATGATTTTGAAGAAACTTAGCTTGACTTAGCTGATTGGTTCTCCTTCCGCCTTAAATCTCGATCAACCTCGGAACCTAGTCACTTGACCTGACGAACCTTTGGTGTCAAAGGCGAAACGTTGACCAGCAATAAATCTACCGATTGTCACCAAACTTTTTCGAAAAATTTGAAGATGAAATTTCTTCTAGGAGCTATCTGATGGTAGCTTGACGTACAAAATCTGGTACTTTTGACGAACTGATACATCTGCGGATGGTACTCTTTGTATGATTGAGTGTGTACTAGCTGTATGTAATAGTTGTTCTCACTGCCATCCTTGGTTCTGCAAGAGTTTGCTTCAAATCCAGTCACGCTGACATATTACATCAACCGTATTGTTACAACTGCCACAGAGCTGCGAGTAGAGTATCAGTGTCACCAGGTGAGAATGAGCTGACGGAGCCTGGTTTCAGAACTGGAGATTTTGTTAGTTCGACTTAATTGATTTCTTCCAGACAAGCGGAACATGGTAGCAGCAAAACTGTCTTCTTCCGAGGAATGACTGGGACACATCAGTGCCAAATTTGCTCACTCGAATCACCAAAATGTTGGCGGTGACCACTAGCACAATTTTCGGTACGTCAAAGTACTTTTAAAACCAAGAAGTCCAGGGTAGCTATGTAAAGCCCCATAGAGAATGAGACAGTTGTGATTCACACTATGTCTTCGGGCTGGCCGAACCTCTTGCAGCCAAATAAATTATAGGCATTGACTACGGGTTCCTCAAGAAAGCTACGGGTTAGATTTTTGGGGTGGAACAAATCTTATGTTCTTCCACTGTCTTGTGTGCTTGATCGTTGAATCAAAGAGACAAAGCGGATCATTTCAGTAAGATACATTCCTCAGTTTGAGGTGCCAGGAGGTAATACTTGTTAGCTAGTTTCCTTCATTTGTATGCTCCAAGATCTATTCCTATCCACAAGAGTGCGAACCGCCTGCTTGCAGCTCTATAAATTAACCAATGATTACTGGCCCTTACAAAGAAAGAAATACAAATTTTGCCGACAAGACAAAATAAACAATTAGACGTATGAGATCACCGGACAGAAGCTGATTCGGTGAGGTTTAACTGAAGCCGTCTCAGGTGAGGGTTGGGCTAGCCGATAATTGAGACTTTTGTCAACGGAGAACTTTATAAAATAAGCTAAGAACTTTATAATATCCGGGAACAAAAATGAAAATGGTGTGATGGAAATGTCAAACTTGATTTGTGGGTGTACACCAACTGAAAGGTTCTGCTTTTCAGGCGGCAAAATTGTTTTGATGAATTTATTTTCCACTTGTTTGCATGAAGGTTGGGTGACATTGGTTCCTGAGGGTCTAATCATACCTCCGTTCCTCTTAGGTTTTACATAGATGACCTCTCTACCATTCACCCAGCTAATCTCTTTAGATATGCTGATGACTTTGCTTTTTGGACCGTGATTCTCATCCATCTTGGACTTTAGCCAAGTTGGTCTGACTTCCTTCTGATTTCGAACGACCGTACAACGCATCTCCTAATGTGTAAGGATAACGTTATATTGTGTTCATAACATTTTTCTCTGGCTATTATTAGGAAAGACTCTGCAGAGCGTTACCAGCCATTACCAGCAAACTAAGCTGCGCTGGTCATTGCCGTCTTCCTGGATGGAGACCCCGAGACGGTCCACATCAATGGTTAGAGGCGTTGTCAGACATGGCTTAGTCGCGCCCTTAATGACGCTCGTGCATCCAAGCTATTGCCTTCAATGCATAGCTCCCTTCCCAATTCCCCCACTTGACAGCCCACTGACAGTGCTGAATTTATGCACCAATTTATCATCTCCCGCCTGCAATGCGCAGCTATCTACCTCCCCCCAAATCAACGATGGACGAAACTGCGGCAGCTGCAACCACTGTACGACCAGTACGCGGTTATTACAGCTGACAATGATGATGATGAGCAGGGCGTTACCGGCAACTACTCGTTTGTGGTCTCTGACCCCAACTGCCTCAACTACGTGAAAGTGAGTTTTTTGTTCACTTTAATGTAGGATGCACTCTCTGAAACAACCTCAAACCCGAGAACACTCTCAATTTAGTTGTCCTTATAGTTTTTTTTATGTAAGCTTGTGTACTCTGATATGTTCTTCGTGGTTATGTGTTGCTCCCGTGTCATTCCTCCTGCAATCTTAGAAGGAAAATTCGTCTACTCAAACGAGAACTAAAGCTCATTTTCTGACAGAGTCTGTGGTTACTTGCTGCTTCGTAAATGTGACGCTTCTCTGTTCACAATGTTGTTCATACATATTCAAGGACGCGTCTCAGTTTCTTCAATCAGATACCTGAACAGCGAGGTCCTGAGGCCTGGAAACGAGTCCCCAATCACTTCTATTCTGTTTTACTTTTGTTATCGTTCATATATTCTGATGAAATTTGGCTAGGCTTAGTGAAAAATTTCTCTCTCCTTCCGCGTCTGCGTATATGTTGAAGTCGGTTGCGGGGCTATAGTTGACAAGGAACTGATCGGAAGGCAGGCAATTGCTAACATCAGTAAATCGGAACCAGTGTTTACCCGTCCATCTTTCGTCTCTCTACCTTTTTGCAGCAATCAGAAAGAAAATTACCTTTAATCGGGGTTGCTGACGTTGACTTGCTGGCTATTACAACGATCTCGGCACAAAACAACGTACGATCATTAACCCACGTGATTTTTGGGAGTGATTCAACGGCGACAGCTGTTCTGTCTGGCTTACCATTGACGGCATCACCATTGATTGCAAACGCGACGACTGTCGATCGATTGGTCTGATTTAGTGACCTTTATTTTTGGCATATAGCACTGTATGTCTACGTCTTCCCTGTTCGGTTAACAAACACCTCTTCACAGTGTGTGCGTGCGACTACGTGTGCCTGAGCGATTGCCGTTCTGTGGGAGTGATGAATGCAGCCGACACAGACGATGATTCACGGATGCATTCGGTACACATCCCATGCGCCACCGGAGCAACACACAGTTTTAAGCCGAACTGGGAGCGTATTGCTGTCCGGTCTAATCAGCCAATCCGCTGACCTCCTTCGTCAGGCTTCCCAGTAGGGTTCAGGACAACGTGCCACAGGCACATGGAAACCTGACGCCTTAGGGACTGTGAACGCAGGGAAAATTTTCGAAGGAGACTGCGAGGATTTTCGCGGAACTAAATATAGTTTCATTGGTAGGTCATTAGCCTTTGCTGTTTTGATTGTTCCTGGAAAGCGACGGCAAAGGTCTGAGTGATTTCCTGGTTGCTGTTCAAAGTAATGCCTGTGTAGCCGCGTCAACTAGACGCCAAAATTTCTCGCACTTTAGTTCGTTAGATAAATAGTCTTCTTATTTTTTACATGGAATATTTTAGCAAGGAAGGTATTTCTTAAGAATTCGCGAGGAAATTCTGAGGGGCTTTTACTCTCCATCAAATAATTCAGAAAAAATATATGAGGTTAGCCAATGGATGTTTGCCGCCGATTGCCGAACAACAGGCTGCGTTTTGAGGGCAACGTGCTGAAGATCGCAAAGTAGGTCCATCTATGCTGATGAACTGAATCGTCAGACATAGTAATATCTCTGTCAGTTGACCTAAACTTCCTGGTATCATGACGAACATCAGTACTAAACTGGCCTTGGTATCTGGAGCTTTGCTCATATCAGATAAACGTTGGGGATAGATCACATCAAGGTAAAACTATCGTCTATTCAGCAGTATCTTTTAGCTCATTCACTCTGGTCCAATGCAGAGGTTTAGAAAGAAATCACCCATAAAATTGGCATATGCCTGCTAGCGCAATTACTAGTCTCATAACGTGCATAGAACCTTCAACACGAACTGTGATTTATACACATTCCATCCATGTTTGCCCATAAAACTCACTCATCATAAATCCAGGATTATATTACACATCTCAAAAACTTGTCACTGAATCCATTCTTCAGGGACCATGTGCACCACTCAACGTTCTAACTGAGTCTTGTGAATAGGCTTAGCAAAATGCTTCAGTGATATGTAAGGACGATAGTGCAATGCAGGTCTCCCGTTAAGATTCTTTTGCTACGAAACCAAACACCCGAAGGCACCGTGTAAAAGCGAACTACACAAGAGGACGGAAGCAACTGACTTTTCATTAATACGGGTTGCACGCCTCACCGTACGATTCATGTTACTCATTTTGTTCAGCAACATAGACCCAAACAGCGCAGTCGTACAGCCTAGACTGTAAGATGAAGCCACAAGCCACATTTATTACCTTCATCTTGATCACCGTTCACAGAAATGGTACGAGGACACGCAGTGCCGCAAGTTGGGTGATAAATGTCAATGTAAGAACTTCTTGGGTCAGCCGGCTTGATAATTATGGGCGCGAAATCCAACTTTGAACCCCCCAGACATGCGTATTGTGACAGAATGAAGTCGCTGTTTGTTGTGTATCGTAGTTGTGGCCTCTAATTAATGAATCAACAAAAAAGATTAATCAATGTGCGTATTTCCTGCGTCAGGAAGCACAAGTGCGTGTGCTACACAAAGTCAAAATAAGCCAAAATGACTCGTTCAAAGTCCCTATTGGTCCAGTAATGATTTAAATTGAAGATGGATGATGGAAATCAGAGCGTTCCTGGTTTGTGTATGCAACTTTAGGACATTTACGGAGACGAACAAACACGTTCTAGCATTCACTTAATTCTCTCTTATAAATGGATACGCCTTGTACTACCATAGAGAGTGGCGTGAATACATCGGTGTGCCAAAACGATCTAAAGCTGCCCAATAAATGACATCAAATGGAAAGCCTATGATGGGTTCTAACTACAAGCCAGATGGACATTGAAGTAACTAACGAACCTGATCAGATTCTAGCGAGTTATTCTCGGTACGCGGCGAGATGAACGCATTTGCCCTGTGAAAACACTTGTGTTTTATAGGGTTAGAATCAGGTTACTTATGTTTGGAAACATTTGTTGCGTAGCAAGAAATATGCCACACTCATTCAATCATTCTGCAAGCATGAGCAGAAAACACTATGCAGAGTAACTGACACTGAGTACCACTTGTTCGTTGATAGTATGTTCTGTAAGATTTGTAAATACAAGGAAGGAACATTGTTTAGCTGCTTCACTCCATTTGTGATTCATCATCTTCATCAGTGCCCACCCCATCACTCTTCGAACAGATCCGGTCCCAGGCCAGCAGTTGCAGACAAAACTGTTTGGCCACCAGCTGCTGAACGGCAGTGTAGGTAAATAAAATAGGTGTGAACGGATTAACAACCTTCTGTTCATGATTTGTCGCAGTAGCAATTTGGGCACTCAAATGGGGCAGGAAACTGAAAATTCTGAAAATGTAGGCCAAGATAAGAACACCCAGGGACATTGTGGTACTTGTATTTTCAGAAAAATCCAGATGCACAGCACCTTGCACACAAGAGGCATTGTCATTTAGAGCTGGAATACCGAAACATCTTCCCACAATAAGTAATACATCACTGATAGGGACTCGCATGTATTAACGAGGATATCTACGGTTAGACGAGAAACTTTCTTTAGAATAATGTGCCTATATCATGTTAACTAGTGACTAAAAAACCATGGAGTGCAAACGCATCCATGGAGCGACCCATTGTGTGATGGGACAGGTGTGGGAAATCAGAATAGTCGCAGTTAGAAAGATAGAATATTGGTCCACACACTTGTGATACGTAGTTCAACCATTGAGAAGACAAGGCTCTTCTCAATATCGTCGGTGTTTGAAAAATGCAGTGAACAAATTGAATGTGGTAGAGAATGTTTCAAACGAGGGGATATGAATGGCCAGTGAACTACTTTGATAAGCAGTTAGGAAATTAAATAAACTAGTGAAACTGAAAGACAAGTTTGCTTCGGAAGAATTCTACTACACAGATTCGAGCACTGGTGCATACTTGGTAGAACGTAGTATTTGAGGCTTTTTATGAAATTCAAAGTAGTTACGCAAATCGAGTTAACGCGGTGTATTGAGATAATACACTGCAGTTCTCCTTTGGCTAACCGACTGACTCAGTTGGGCTATTTGGTCCAACATTACAAAGCCTAGAGTGCCAGTGAACATGTGAAAAAATGGTGAATTAGGGGAGTTTACGATAGCCTGCGATCGGAGATTTTTGTGTGAACGTCTGTGCACTTGTGTAAGATGCTACTCTGAATGATAACTTTTTCTCAGGTCTACTGCGCACAATGTTGGTGTTATATAATGTAGTAGCTATTCCCATAATTTTTCATGACTTCATAGTGTATTACGGAGCTTAATGCAATGTTACCAGGTTGTAGGGTTGCACGATACGAGTACAGCATTTCGTCGGATTCTGGGAAAACGACCTCCAAAACTCTCAAAGTTCACAAAATGGCGTATATTTTCCTAGGGTTTATCAAATACAGAACAGATCCCCACAAGAGAATAATTTGGAGCGAACCAGTTATTGCTGATATCATATTTATGCCCGTTTGTACTACAGTGGTTACTTGAGTGCTGTTTCTTTCCGGCCCACCCTTACTCCTGTGTAGGTTGATGTAAACGTTTTTATTCGCTGGCGTATACAGCGATCTCCTCTAGATGGAATGCAACGTACACATTCAGCCACCTTTTTAATGACCTTATGACGATGAGGATGGTGTGATGATATGGAGGCCTACTGAAGAATGGAAGGAGGGCTACGGAAGGAACGCAGAAACGCGGAAATTAGACAGGAACTTTGGAATGGGCAAGAAGTAAAAATTGACAATCACGGGGAATCAACGGTTTTGGCAGAGCGAGTTGACAATTTCACTACGGCTCTTTGGTTCTGACAATCAGCTGCGCTGTCGGTCAAGTGATCAGGAGGTTGTGGTGTTTTGGAAAAAAATTAAGCAACGATGATAGTTCACATGAATTACCGATGTTAATTTCAAGATAAGCCAAGATATTGGGGTTCAGGCAAAGATACGCTGCCACTTAATTGACACTTACCTGCTAACTGATCTGATTGTTCCGTTTTGTGCACCGTTTATGGCTCGCAAAACTTGTATGGAGTTTAAATCGAGTTCATTAAACAAATGTTATCCTAAGCAACCCAGATGATTTGGTGCTTTGGCTACACATCTGTCATTTGCCTGGTTCATCGACACTGTGAAGAAACTAAAAGTGTGCCATACACATCAAACCTGTTGTTTAAAAGCAACTAATGGGAATGAAAAGCCTATTAGTGTTCTCTTTAAACCAGTTAACTTAATGACCTTAACTTTTGTGTGATCGTGTTACGTTAGTCGCTACTTTGATGCATGGCGAATGCACGCATCCCTGAGGTCTAATTCTTATCGATCATCGGGTATATGCACTGGATGGCAAGTCCACTTTGAATCAGATGTTAGACTTGTGGGAAGAAAGCTTTTGGGATGGGCTATAACCGTCATCCTCTGCTTCAAATGTTTGTCACACCATGTGAAAAATTGCTAGAGTACCTTGGATAATCATTCACTATATGAGCGAAAGATCCGATGTATAGAAAGACATGTTATGTGGAACGCGCTGTGCTTAAAAATGGCAGCAGACTGCAATCAAAACTAAAGATGCTTCCAACGGAAACCCGATCCGCACAACAAATGCTTACTATATGGTCCTTTCAGATACGATGCACTCACAGAAAAAGTGCAAATGTATTGTTCAGTACCTTGCATGGCTACGCGGTGTGTGAACCAGCACAAGACTACAGGTTGTCTGTTAATTACTGAGGACAAACTGGTTAGATGTCCAGAGCAGCTGTTGATCCGCACCAATCACATTTGCATGGTTCGCGAAAGCTTCTGGTCATTAGCCCCCTCTGGTTCACTTTGATTACCGCTTTTATTCCGGATTTTATTTTGCCGGATAATTATAGCTACGGCCGGTAGAGATGGAAATTTGATTACCTTTGGTTGTGTGGATAGTTAGTTCAGTTGACTGACCAAGTGGGTTTCATCCTCACGTGTACACATAACCCACAAGCACGACTCCTCTGCTTCCAAGGAGCACTTTGGGCTTCTTTGTTCAACAGTTGATCATACGTACTGACCCGGTAGCCCATTCTGCGTATTGGGTTGAGTGCAAGATAGTTTACCCACAGGTTGAGTAGGTTTTTCTTCAAGTTGTATATAATGGCTAATGCTATGGAGAGTCATGCCTCGATAAATTTTATC